CCGCTAGTCCATGGGTGAAGGGGCCTCGGTATTGACGCCACGCAGGTGACTCGTTGCGCCTAGAGAGGCTCCCTCGCCAAGACGTTGGTCTTGTACGTGCCAGGCGGTCTGATGTGCTGCTAGGGGGTGAGAAGGGGTGAGTTGAGAAAGTGGCAAGGGGGGGAGGCTCAGACTATACGACCAAGATCCGACTCAAAGTCCGCCAATTTGTGGCTGAACCCGTAGTGGCACCGAACGTCCTAATAGTTGCACCGAACGATCACTCCTTACAACGACAACACGGGACCTTTGAAGCATCGCACATGAAAATATGTGATTGCACCACCTAACCCTACAGATCAACACCAAGAGTTGGCGACTTCACAACAGACCAAGGCGGCGGGACAGCTTCAACTTGGCGTCCGCCGATAACCTGGCGCCCACTTGGCGGGTGGTCGGTGTTCGAAGCAACAATCATACTAACGCGACAGGGATCCGAACGTTCACCGTTTTCAATACAGTCGAATGCCCCTCGCTCGCTCGTCGACATTTGGTGTACCTGATACCGAATGACGCACGATGTCCGCCTATCTATGAATGATAGCAGCTTAGCCGTGAGGTCAGACAGGTGTACTTCTTGCGCCTAGAGAGGGTCCTTTGCCAAGACGTTGGTCTTGTCCGTGTCAGGCGGTCGGATGTGATCTACTAGGAGGTGAGAAGGGTTGAGTTGAGAAAGTGGCAAGTCGGGGAGGTTCAGACTGTGCGACCAAGATCCGACTCCAAAACCGCCTATTTGTGGCAGAACCCGTAGTTGCACCGAACTTCCTAGTTGCATCGAACGATCACTTCATACGACGACAACACCGGACCCTTGAAGCATCGCACATGAAAAGATGTGTACTCACCACGTCACCCTACAGATTAACACCAAGAGTTGACAAATTGACAACCGACCAAAGCGGCGGGACAGCTTGAACTTGGCGTCCGCCGAAAACCCGGCGCCGGTCGGTTTTCGAATAGTTTTGGTGACAATCATACCAACGTGACATGGATTCGAACGTTCACTGTTTTCAGTACACCTCGCCCGCTCGCCGACATTTGGTGTACTTGATATCGAATGACGCACGATGTCCGCCTGTCTATGAATGATAGCAGCTCAGCCGCGAGGCCAGACAGGTGTACTTCTTGCGCCTAGAGAGGCTCCTTCGCCAAGACGTTGGTCTTGTCCGTGTCAGGCGGTCGGATGTGATCTGCTAGGGGTGAGTTGAGAAAGTGGCAAGGGGGGGAGGCTCAGACTACACGACCAGATCCGGCCCTAAAACCGCCTATTTGTGGCAGAACCCGTAGTTGCACCGAACGTCCTAGCTGCACCAAACGATCACTCCTTACGATGATAACACGGGACCTTTTGAATTATTATCCATGAAGAGATATCATTTCACCACCTAACCCTACAGATCAACACCAAGAGTTGACAAATTGACGGCAATTTTTTAATGTAACGGGACAGAGCTTTTAGAAGTTTAGTTACGCGGGCGAAGCCCGCCAATAAACGGTGCAACCCATTCATCTGCGAGCCAAACGCTTTCAAAATGTTGCGCCTCACTCAATGCATCGATGAAGGAAAGGAGACACCAGAGCAGAGGTGCCGTCACTGGGGCAGCAAAAGAATCACCGTGCAGATATTCTGCCATGCGGGTTGTCAACAAACCGACGCGTCGGGATGGATGGATGATTGATGGCGATTGCTGTGGGTGGGGTGTTCACTCCAATAAAGAACCCACCGATAGATGGAGTCAAGAGAGCGAAAAAAAACAACGCGGAGCTGCCAGAGCATCATCATCACGTTCCTTGAAGTGTTCTGGCGAGAGGACGGGCGTGCAGATGATATAAAAGCATGCATGAATTCCTGCTGTGCTGCAGTAGCTCGACATAAAATATTCGCGTGTGTGTGCGTGATGCGTGCGTGCATGTTTGTAGCTCTTCTTCTAGCGGGTGCTGCTGCGTACTCGTCATCGACACTCAGTGTGGGTTGACATTGCGAAACTTCGTGCACAGTGGTGTGTGCTGCTGTTGGCGTCTGGTATGCGTCAGTTGCAGCGCCCAGGCTCCCGCCTGATGTGTGTCGGTCTCTGAACTGGTTGGTTCGAATGAATGCGGTGTGCCCAGAAGAAAAAGCGGCGTAATTGCCAAAATTACTCGAAAATAGAGAAAGCGTCAAGTAGGCGCCAAATGGAGACAGCTGATTGGCGGACGCCAAGTTAAATCTGTCCCAGTGGCTTTTTTTGCTGCCAAAACATCAATAGGCGCCAAATGGAGACAGCTGATTGGCGGACGCCAAGTTAAATCTGTCCCCGTGGCTTTCTTTGCTGCCAAAATTGACAACAGACCAAGGCGGCGGGACAGCTTCAACTTGGCGTCCGCCGATAACCTGGCGCCCACTTAGCGGTTTTCGAGTAGTTTTGGCGACAATCATACCAACGCGACAGGGATCCGAACGTTCACCGTTTTCAATACAGGCGGATGGCCCTTGCTCGCTCGTCGACATTTGGTGTACCTGATACCGAATGACGCACGATGTCCGCCTGTCTATGAATGTTAGCAGCTCAGCCGTGAGGCCAGACAGGTGTACTTCTTGCACCTAGAGAGGGTCCTTTGCCAAGACGTTGGTCTTGTCCGTGTCAGGCGGTCGGATGTGATCTGCTAGGAGGTGAGAAGGGTTGAGGTGAGAAAGTGGCAAGTCGGGGAGTCTAAGACTACGACCAGATCCGGCCCCAAAGTCCGCTTATTTGTGGTAGAACCCGTAGTTGCACCGAACTTCTTAGTTGCATCGAGCGATCACTCCTTACGACGACAACACCGGACCCTTGAAGTATCACACATGAAGAGAGACATACGACCAATGTTACCACAACCCTAACCCTACAGTTCCTCATCAAGAGTTGGCAAGAGTTGGTGAATTGACAACAGACCAAGGCAGCCAGAAAGATTGAAATGGGCGTCTGCCAATCACCTGTCGGCACTCAACTCGGTACCTGTCATATGCATACGAGGCGTCTTGCCTGTTTTCGAGTAGTTTTGGCCTTCTACCAACTCAACTTGGGATCCGAACGTTCACAGTTTTCAATGCAGTCGGATGGCTCTCTCTTTCTCTCTCTCTCACCGACGTCTCCTTCACCTGACACCCGGCGGCGTAGGATGGCCGCTAGTCCATGAACGATACGTCCTCAGTCTTGACGCCAGACAGGTACTCGTTGCCCCCAGACGGGCTCGTTCGTTGAGGTGTTGTCGTGTCTGTGTCATGCCTCCGAGTGATCTGTTAGGGGGAGGGAAGGGTGAGTGTGTGGGTAAGTGGCACTTGGGGGACCCCACCCGACCCATCGGATCGACAGCCCCAGACTGTCGCCAGTTCCAGCTACAACCCCGGCCTGTTTCTGACATAACATAACATATGCCGAAATCTCTCGTCTAGGTCCCGTGCTACTTCGTATGCATAGTTGATCTCATTTTTCGCACAATAGTTCAATGCCGAGTGTGGACAAAAGGCTGCCGGCTGTCATTTTTCAGACCATCCAGACACTCGATTGCACGTGATTGAAGCCCGGCACTTTTGGAGACGTCTGAGCGCTGGTATTGTTGGTGGTGATGGTATGCGATTTGTTGATATTGTGTTCGTCGAAATGTCTTTTAGACCCCTGCTTAGGATTCTTCAAAAATCTGCACTGTCTTATTCAGACAAATTCTCGAGCGCCTCCTCAAACGGTCAGGTTTTGCAACGACATACCGAACAATGGCGATTGACAAAAAGAGAACCCACTGCCGCCCTTTGATACTGAGTACACACGGTACCAGCGGCCCTGCGATACAGTCCTTCTGTGCCTCCCAACACGAGCGTCGGGTTCAGCCGATATAGGAGCTCGAATGACTCGTTTCACCAACTCACTACTGTAACCCCCAAGTCCCCGCCAGTTTGCCGCCGCTCACTCCTGTTTCTCGCATAGTCTCAGTCATCACCTCCCATGCATTCCTCCTTTTTTAAGCACAGACGACGTGATCCGTGCCTTCACGACGCACCAAGCCGTTACCGCCCCCACCGGCAATGCTAATAGCCAAGTATATGCGCGCCAACCACCCATGCAGCATGGTTCAAGTACACCGCCCATGAATGGGAACAACAGGGTCGGAAAACCGATCTTGCTCGCGGCCAACCTTGCCCGGAATGCATCGGAAAAGCAAGCTTGCTCGCGGCGAACCTTTTTCGTGGAATGCGCCGGAGCTGCGCACAATGTGGACGAAAAATAAGAGCATCGATGGTATATGGACTTGCGGGTAACCCTCTGCCATCGGTCCGAAATGCAGGATGCTTGGATTCCGAAGAAGGGCCTGATGGTAGAGGATCTTGGGGGTCAGCTGTCATCTGCGGGAAGGCAGCATGCGTCAACTGTGAGGAGTGCTGCCAGCCATCATGCAAAAGCCGCTGGCACCACGACCTGTGTTGCTGGCAAACCCGATCGAGGGGGCCGTGGGGTTTGGAGTTAATTCCTTGTAGGTATCCAAGAGCGTTACCTACACTTCAACAAAAGCTCGGCCTATCGTTTCTTCACGACACGTTTCCAAACGGAGTCCCCCCTCCTTCCGTCGAGAGGCCTCAACGCACACATGCCCTGCGAGTCCATGAATGAAAACGAACAATTCACTTCGGAACCTATGTTGAGTGTCCCACTCGCCTCGCGCGCAACCCCGCCCGAAAAAAACGTGCAACCAAATTCGAGAAGTCATAGTGGCGCATCTAACCACCGAACGTGTAAGCTGGAGAGTTGTAATAACACCGAAATGAGAATACCGCGGGAATTATTTATCACGTTGCGGGAGATAGGCCGCGGAATACTGCGTCCGTAATACTGAACGGCTAACGCGAAACCAATTTCAAAGTGTTTGCCCGTTACGTGGTCGAACCACCCGCGACTGTTGTTTACGGGAGGGTCGTCGAAACCCCGTTATGAAGCACCAGGGTGTCATTGTCATGGAGGGGGTGGCGGCACAACGTTCCCTGCGGCTGCCCCGCTGCCATCGATCGGCCGCACGGCCATGAAACTTCTGACCATTTCATCCGTCACGGCCGCTCTCGCATCCTGGTGGTCCTTGGTCATCTTTGTCAAGATCTCGATGAGGATCTTCTTGACTTCGCCCGTCAGCATTCTTCCTGCGGCGTACTCCTCGCCTGCACAGCAACAGAAGGGCAGACACCATCAAAAGCACCGGAAAACAGGGGGCACATCGGGCGGTAGTCAGCAACACAACGCCACCCTACAGGTATAATGTGCACTGAAGATTGGGTGAAACGTCAAAGATGTCTACAGGCAGGCGGGATGGAGGATGACGAGAGCCGCAAGAACTTCGCTTCTCAATTACCGATCGTCGTGCTCCGTCGAAACTCCCGCGCTTCTCGCCAAGGAGTTGAGGACGTCTACGTCAGCAACGCCCCAATTTCAACTCCGTTACGGGCATAGGGCAAAGGGCGTCTCGATCACGACGTTCAGGGTCAGCAAAGTCACGCATTATGCTCCGCGAGCAGGTACATCACTCTCTGCTCGATAGTGATACAACCAACCCAGGGGATCGAGAGTATCCCCTGGGTTCTTCACCAACCGAAGGGCTCACCTATGCGCTTGAGCTCGTCGTCGTCCTCCATAAAGAACGTCAGGTACTGGTACGGGACATCCACCTGCACAGGAAAGTTACACATAAATTATGGCGCCGAGGGTCACCATAAGATGCTTGCAATGGAGATCGACGCAGAGAGTGACCCGCTGAAATCGACAAGGGTGCGATCTGCGGGACTTGTAGAAGGAGTGAGCTCCCAAACTCTTAACGGTAGTCGCATGTGACTTGGCCGAAATTGTACGGGCTGCTGTTCCTCACACGAGGACAACGCAGAAAGTCCAACGCTATCGCCAAATGGCACAGCAGTATTGAGAATGGGTGAAGGGGGGTGGGAACGACCAAACATTTCGAAATGAGAACCTACGTCGAAATGATGCACGAAATAAAACGTCGCTGCTGGATTTCAACATGAGTCGGGCGTACGCCCAATCACGATCAAGTCCATGATAACGACAAAAACACGGCGACACATGCAGAGTCGCTACTCTCGATGTCTCCCGCTGCACCGCAAATATGTCAGCGCTGTTCCCTTCCTCCACGCTTTTGGAAACCACTCACAGGCATCAGATTCACAAACACTTTTTGCGACGTGCAAGGTACACCACACACCAAACACGAGGACGTACATGGATGTTGGCCCCATGGAGTTCCTGCAGCTCCTTGGTCTCCTGCCCCCCCGAGAAGCAACCATTGATCTTCTTCTTCACCTTGGTTGTGAGGGCAAGAGGGAGACAACGGCGAGCATCCACAACAACAACAAAAAATCAAAAGCACAGCCGATCAGATCAGTACATTCTTCCGCACGTGAAGATTCCCGTCAGATTCCAACAAGCAACGGCGAGGGTTTAGCGACGGCCACAAAATGCAAACACCCAATAGGTACACCCGGCCGGGACATGCGCTCCTTAAGCCGAGCCAGTGCGAAACGTTCAGCGGACGGTCACGTATTTATCCTACTGCGTGCATCACTCCGCGAGACACTGTCGACATTTCTCCCGACACGTAAAAACGCTGCGACCGCATCACGAAAGGACCTCGATCGACACGCTTGGAAGCCGCGCTGGACAAGGCTGCCGAGTGAAGCTTCGCCGTCAATGCTGGGATGGAAGACATTTACCCACCTTTTTGGGAGTATCCGTGACAAAAATCGCGCTGGACTCGGTGCTGGAGCTCATTTTCCCTCCCGGCCCCTTCGGTCAAAGCCAGACCCACACATACACATACATACACACGGGGGGCGGGTGGGGGCGAAGTTGAGGATGGAGCACAAAGAAGCTAGAGGGAGTAAAACCGCTTAGCGAGGCGACGCAGACAGCAGTCCTGAAATCGACTCAGACGTCGCGTAATCGATGTTGGGAAAAAAACACGCGAGCACGAGTTTAAACCAACTGAAGAGAAGGCACAACCAGAGTGAATAAAGACTGACTGCGCGGAATCCTGGACGACTCTAAAACGCACGAGGTCAGGCCGAAAAGATTATTCCTAGAAATGAAAGGACCGACGGACTATCTGTTCAGGAAAATAATTGTTTGTGAACTATTGGTTAGCGGGGAGAACACATCTCAAAGTACTATGCGCAAAGGATTGTCTGTTCAGGAAAACGGTTTGTGAACTGTTGGTTGTCGGGGAGAAACACATCTCAAAGTACTATGCTCCAAGGTATTGACACTTGAAATATGGGACTGATGCAATCATGAACGTACGTACGTAGCGAAAGGGTTCGCCTGACTTGTGCATCGGGGCGTATTAGAACCCTTAATCTAAAACATCTTGCACTTGTTCTCTTGCGCACAAAGACGAGTTCGTACCAATAGTCGCTAGAGAAAAACATCTTTGGGGTAATACACCATGTATGACATGATTCATCACCTGAAGCCCGGGGAAGAACCTTGAGTGAATCAGAGCTGGTTTTCGCAGCTTCATTCGCGGCGCAACGTCCCGAGTCATGCGGAAGTACGCGTCCTGAAAAAAAAGAAAAAAAGACGGAGGGACAACGCGAATAGTCATACAACAAAGAAGACCAGACAGTGAGAACAAAATGAATCGATTTTTGCATACGCTCTGCAACTAACAATAAAAAAAAACGCTCTGGTCACAGGACGGTGCCTGACTGGCACACGGGGGCTTCGGCGTGTACAAGCCTTGAATATTCGCCCTCCACTTCACTCAAAAACAAACCATGGAGGGGAGACAATCAAACGAAACTACACAACCGAATGAGGAACGGTAGAGTAGGAAAGGGGCCAAGTTCGTTCGCCCGTGAGAGAAGAGAAGACAACGAGGCGGCGGGGTTGTCTAAATGAACACGCGCTCAGCCTAGCGGGTTTTGACAAAGGCAAGATTCGATGTATCTTGCCGCTTTCGATGGACAAGACAGGCGTCGCTGCGGCTGCACCCGTCGGGAATATTCTAGCGTCTTACAAAGCCCGTAAATTCCCAAGCTCCATTCGTCCACAAGTAGAACCGATAAAACAGTATTTCGAAAAGATCTTGTTGACAGGTCTCCGTTATGTCGAAAACTGGCTACGCAAGGGTTGCGATCTCTCCGACGCTACAGTTTTCATCTATTCGCACGACAGGAACCCCCCCCCCAAAAAAAAAAAATAATAATAATAATATTCTTGAGCGTTGGCATATGGTTGGCATGCATAGTGCGGGCATCTAGTACCAGGTAGCCATCTCTGGAGCGTTTCGCCTGTCCACGTACGAATCGACATTGCTCATTTCGATACAACTCGCAACTCCAAGAGCAAAATATTTCCGCCGGGCTGCAGCGCCGCGTTATTCATGCAAGGCCGGTAATTAACCTACCTCGTCGGTCGTACTCCGCCTCCACAAAAAAATGCCCCACAAAAAATAAACCGGAGGGGTGTGTGTGTGTGTGTGTGTGACTACTTGTACTGTACCTGATCGATGGCACAAGGAATCAGGCACGGACGGTCGGGCGTTCCCCCGAGGGGGATGGGGAAGGAGGAGGAGAACGACGGGGCCGCCTGGACCGCGGGGAAGGCTTGGCAGCCGATGTTGTGGCTCTCGGTGAAGCCGAAGATGCCACGGACCTGGTTGTAGGTTACGAGCCTGTGGGGAGGGGGGGGGGGGGGGGGGGGCCCCCCCCCCGAAGAATAAAAAATGGGGGAAAAGGGGGGGGGGCG